ATTTCTGTTCCTTCAAATCCACCACGCCGATCAAGTAGACTCAGACGTCAACCAGACAGATTTGGTACTTGGTCAAAATCGGCAAATACATCAGATACATTGGACACGCCTAAAACCTGGAAACAACTCTTGAAATCACCCAACAAGGCGAAATGGCTTAAGGCAGCAGACAAGGAATTTTCGTCGCTCCTGGGAATGAAGACATGGCACTTGGTACCGAGACCGGTCAAGCAAAAGATCATTAAGTCTAAGTGGATTTTCAAAATCAAAAGACGAGCCAACCACTCAATCCAAAAACTCAAAGCGAGACTGGTCGCTATGGGCTATACTCAAGTCCAAGGCATTGACTATGATGAGGTTTTTGCTCCAACTCTTCGACAAGAAACGTTCAGATTACTATGCAGTCTCACTGCTATAAATGGCTGGAAAGCTCGTCAAGTCGATTTTAAAACGGTGTTTCTGAATGGAAAACTCTCCAAACCCATCTATATGGAGCAGCCTCAAGGATTTGAGGACCCAGAACATCCAGACTGGGTCTGCGAAGTCCATCGGTCGCTATATGGCCTTAAACAATTGCCGCGTGAATGGAACATCGAACTCCACAATGCTCTATTGTCCATCGAACTTTGTCAATCCTCTTTCGACCCGACTCTTTATTTCCGCCTGAAAAACAAGCGTCTTGTTGGCGCCATCGCCATTCATGTTGATGATCTAGCGGTAGTCGGGGAAGACTCCTTTGTTGATGATGTCATTTCTCGTATGGGGCAAAAATTCACCATAGGCGCCGATGAACCTCTTCATCACTTTCTGTCTTTGAAAATCGCTCGAGACCAATCAAATAATCTTCTTTATCTCTCTCAATCTCACTACATAGACGAGATTAAGTCCAGATTCCTAGCCGACTATCATTTAAAAGTCTACACTCCAACAGATGCTAGTTTCCGATCGCTTGTTCCGCGCAAACCTGAAGAACCACCATCCTCGGGACCCTACAACCAATTAATAGGGTCTCTGCTGTGGGCTGCTCAATGCACTCGACCTGATGTGTCCTTTGCCGTAAATAATTTATCTCAGTTTCTTTGAGATCCATCAGACTCTCACTGGAAGGCTGCGTTAAGAATCTTACATTATCTCTGCTCGACTAAAGACCTTCGTCTTCGACTTGGAGGTTCTCTTACTTGCGCAGGTTTTTCAGACTCTGATTGGGCAGAAAATCGGTCAGATCGCAGGTCAACTTCGGCATACACCTTCCGCATTGGTGTAGGCTCAATCTCGTGGAAATCAAGGAAACAAGCGACTGTTTCGTTGTCAAGCACAGAAGCAGAGTACAAGGCAATGTCAGACTCATGTAAAGAAGGAATTTGGCTTCGAAACATCCTATCTGAACTCTGCCTTCGTCCGAAGGACGCTCTTCCACTCCACGTCGACAATGAAGGAGCAGAAGCGCTAGCAAAGAATCCGGAGCACCACACTCGCACGAAACACATCAATGCTAGGTATCACTTTATCAGGCACTGCGTTTCAAGAGGTTGTCTTTCAATTGTCCATGTTCCAACTAAGGAAATGCTCGCGGACATGCTCACTAAACCTTTGCCGAGGGTACAACTTGAATCTCATCGACAGCGATTTGGGCTTGTTTAATTTTTTTTACTCTTATTTCATCTGTCTTATTTTTTTTTTTTCTTTTCATATTTCACTTTGAGGTTTCAGCAAGGGGGGGTGTTGGAGTTATTTGTTGTATGCTTTCTTCCTCTCAGTTTTTTTTTCTTTTATTCTGTTTCATTTCTATGTCACAGGTTGTGACATCTCTCTTGGATCTACCTAGTCCAGCTCTCAGACGTGGAAGGATCTTCTTCATCCTTCCACAATCATCTGATTGTCTGGCCTAGGTAAGCCATACATTTTCTCTTTGTTCTTTGTCCTTTCTCTTTC